TCGCAATCAATAACGATCAATCCAATATTACGACTATTCCGTCAGGAAATCCGCAAGGCTCAATTTTGGGACCTGTGCTCTTTTTGATTTACACGTGTGACCTGCATAAAGCAGTTGACAATTCAGGGATACAAACATTTGCTGACGATACTCAAATAATATTCCATTTCGACGCCTCAGATACGCAAAATTCATCAGATATTTTACAGCTTGATTTAGATAAGGTACATCAGTTTTCTATGGAACATAATCTTGCTATTAATCCAGATAAGACACAAGTGTTATTGTTTTGTTCTGATCAGAAGAGGAAAACTGTCGAAGATTCTTTCCATCTGACTATTGATGGCATAACATTACAGCATACTCAAACAGCTAAGGTACTAGGAGTGGAAATTGACACAAAATTAAGATTCCGCAGCCAAATAGCTAATTTGATGAGAAAAACTTACCTGTGTTCTAGGGCTCTTTATTCCATTCGCTACTTGCTTAACTTTAAGCTGAGAAAAAAAATTTTCGAATCATTGGTGATGTCAATGCTCAGTTACTGTGATGTCGTTTATTATCCATATTTGGATCAATTGACCAAAAATCGTCTTCAAATCATCCAAAATAACTGTGTTCGCTTTATTTATGGGTTGCGTAAATACGATCACGTAAGTGATAAATACAGGGGAGCTTAGGTTAGGAAGTTTGGTTAAACATAAATTCTTAGTTTTAGTTCATAAAATAATATTGTCATCAAAGCCTGAATATCTAAGAGCTAAGTTAAGATTTAATTACGAAGTGCTGTTAGGAATCGTTATAATCGTTATAGAATCAGAACCACCCCACGCACATCTGCATTATTAAAACGAGGATTTACATATAATCAGTTGGACAACAGTATTAAATTGATATCTTTGGAAAGTTTTCGTAAACATACTAAAAGCATGTTGCTCGCTATTGATCAAATAAGCATTTCTGCTACAGATATAGATTGTGTCTATTTGTATTTTATACTTAGGTATATATGTTTTCTTTTTTCATTGTTCTTATATATTTTTTCCATGTTTTGAATATCAGATGTAACCGACATAAACAGTTAAGTGTAAGAGTAGCCTTGGCTGTTTATGTCCCTCCGGGGCCGTATGCAGTTCTTTTTTATTTTCTTGTATTCTAGTAAGTGCAACGCCCTGTGTTTTTATATAAATAAAAGGGAGCATTGATATTATCATTTAGTTCTTTCATGATTTTTTCATTGGTTTAATTCTACCAATTGTACCATGTTGCACAAATGAGTCCTACTATAAAGTGAAACGGCATTTAGTACGCAAAAGCAATGAATTAGACTCTCCAGACCAATTCAAGTTGACTACAATAGAAATGTAGAAAAATCTAATGTACAGGCCTAGACTGTTGTTTCCCTTTTAAGCCGAACTCATGTTGTACAATATATGTTGATGGAATACAATCACTAAATAAATAGTACTTTAAAATACTAAGAAAACACGCTTTTATAGCTAACTGAACTAAAAGTATAAAACAATGTTTAATTATAGTCTATATTACAGTAGTAGGTGGTGGAACAATCAATCATAAATAATGACCTCAAAATAAAATTATCATAACATGTTTAACAGAATAATTCAATCCAGAGTAAAAACCGTAGGGTGCATGATATATCAAATGTTACAATCATTCTATTGTCAACTATCTATGAGAGGTGAGTTATGGAAATGTAGTAGAATGCACCCTGTGCTTTTTACTCTGAACGGAATTATTCTGTTAATAGCTTAAATTTTTTTATAATTTTATTTTGAGGTCATTAATAATAATTGATTGTTCGACCATCTAGTACTGTAATATAGACCCTTTGTAGTAATTAAAAATTATTTTCTACTTTTTAGTACGGTTAGCTATAAAAGCGTGTTTTATAGTTTTTTTACACTATTATTTATTTTTCATTTTTTAGTTCGATTTATCAATTTAGTTTTTTATGGACATGTGGTATTGAAATGTCTTACGAATCATTTCGTAATCTAATCATTTCATTTGAAGCTTCTTCAACCTGAATACCGTCTGAAGATCTTACACGGCTAAGTGCTTCATAAGCTTAACAAGCAGCAAACAGTCGCGAGCCTATAAAAATGACTGCAGGATCGACTGTACAACCTTGCATCTTGTGGACGGTCGAAGCCCAACTCAGGATTAATAGCAACATTTCGCAATAGCACTATCTCTCTTACTCCCTACAGAGGATCTATAAAAGAATTTATCAATCCTGGCGGTCCTAATAAGGAAAATGGAAAACTCTTATCAAATTATTACATTGTCGTCGGTCCTTGATACGTGTGCAAAGTTTCATATTAATCAAACTTCTGGAAATTGGTGAAAATTATGCTCAAAGATTCCGTTACATTCATGCATAAATACATACATATAGGTCAAGCTAATAAAAGCGTGTTAAAAAATAACGAACAAAGTAAATAATAGAGTACATAAAATTAATTTTGCATTTTATTTATAGCATGTATTTTTATCTAAATAATAATAATACTAAATTCATGGGAGAACTTACAGGGCATTGCACTTAATAAAATACAAGGAAATGGAAAAAACTGAAGATAACCCTGGAAGTTTGAGTTCCTAAAACATTTTTGTATTGATTTTTAGCATTATTTTGTGAAATGATTAACTAAAAACGTCCAAGAGGCGCAGTCAATCTATTTTTCTAGCTAATTAGCACTATTTTTGTTTGCATTATTTTTATACACAGTCAAACATTTCAATATTCTGTTTAATAAAAATAAAAACAAAAAATTGAGTCTGACTCTTGATTTAGTATATGATACTAAAGAGTTAGCTTGTTAAAATAAGTATATCCATAAAAATAATGTGAAAGTTTTTCATTTTCAGATATGAAAAGCTCTCGATCCCCACTACCTACCATTTCACTATGCTCATTTAAGCATGGAACACGTGTATAGATATCACTAGGAAGTATGAAAAAACTACGTGAAAAGGAATTAGTTGACTTCTGAAAATATAATTATTCTTCAGTATTGCCTACCTTGAGTTCAATACATTTTTCGAGCAAATTCCTATTTGATTTGTACGAGTACCTTCCCTAATAGTAATTTTCTGGAACACCTTCAAAATGCACGTATTCGGCTGAAATGACTTCTTCACTTGGACTCAAAGCATCGAAACTAAGGAAGGACCTGTAGATGCTAAATCTGCTGAAAAGGATGGCTGTTCAAGCAATTCGAAATGTGAGTGATTTTTGCCATTACTGGAGCGCTTCTGTGAATAGATGCATTGTCCCGATGGACGATGATTGTTTCTAAGGATGTTGGTATTCGCTTTGTGGTCGCAATACATTTTGAACCTGTAAAAACCTGAGAGTCGCAGTCTCAGAGCTTCGCTACCTTGTATGTGGGACAAATACGTTTATTCGTTTCCTGAATCTTGAAAAGGAAAGTGCTAAGAAAATATTTTAAAAAATATAAACAGATAGTATATCACACAAATTATAGTGAGTCAGTGTTATTTTGTTTGAGAGTGCTGGAGAAAAGTAAGTACATTATTTTTTATTAAATTTTAGTTTTGTACTCGTAGTTAGCAAAGATAGATAAATTACGCCAATCATGACTTTAGTTATTAGTAGTTAAATATTCAATCATGCAAAATTACACGAGTACTCCTCAATAGTTTCTTTTTGAAAGTTTTATCAATCGTTAATATAATTACAGTGCAATCTCCGGAATTCGAGCTAATTGTTGCAAGAAGATGTTCGAATTATGGAATGTTTTCGGAAAAATCCAATAAATATTTTTAATATACAGCTGCTGGATTTTCTGTCTTATTTAAATAATTTAATTTTGCCTACAGATGACTGATGCCATGTCCGAATCTAAAAGAAATATGGACAGTACAGTGTTGATTATTTGAAATTTGGCTTCATTCCATCATTGCCGGACAAACAATCGCCTATGTGCCTTTTATGCAACAAAGTTTTGGGCAATGACGCTATGAAACCATCTAAACTGAGATCATCTGAGAAGATGCCACCCTGATAAAACAGAGAAAGATTTGAAATACTTTCAAACACTCAAAGATAAATTTCAGAAGAGACCTACACTGGACAGAATGTTAGCTTCGACGTCACAAACAAATCATGATGGTTTGCGGGCGTCTTACAATATCTCGTTACTTATAGCAAAATCCGGAAAACCGCATACTATCGGAGAAGAGTTAATTTTGCCAGCCGTTGAAGAGGTTTTAAAAACTGTTTTACACAAACCTACATCTGATATCATTAAGCAACAATACTGTTGAAAGACATATTGATGAAATGAGTTCTGATATTGAAAGCTTCTTATGTAATTATTTGCAAACGACCCATTTCTCTATACAACTGGACGAGTCAACTTTACCTGATAATGCAGCATTATTATTGGCATATGTTCGTTTTATTATGAATCAAGAAATCTACGAAGAACTGCTCTTCGCAAGAACTTTGATAACCGACACTAAAGGTGAATCAATATTTCATGTTTTGAAGGATTACTTCATTGAAAAAGCAATTCCTTTATCAAATATAATACCAGTAGCTACAGATGGAGCACCTGCCATGGTTGGACGTTGTCGTGGATTTATAAGTTATTTAAAACGAAATGTGTCGGGGGTGTTAGCAATACATTGCGTCATCCATCGACAACATTTAGTTGCTAATAATTTGAGTGTTAGATTGCATGAATCACTTCATTTAGTCATTGATGCAGTAAACCGAATCAGAAGCAACGCGTTGAATACGCGGTTATTTGCGCAGTTGTGTGAAGAAAATGACGAACACTCTCATCAATTACTCCTTCACACTGAAGTACGCTGGCTGTCGAAATGCTTATGTTTGACAAGATTTTTGGCACTTTTTGAGAGTATTTTAGAATTTCTGGATACTAAAGATAAAATTTTAAAAGAAAATTTAATGAAGAGGAAAACAGACATCGCCTATTTAACAGATTTGTTTACAAAATTTAATATGGTTAATTTGCAATTACAAGGCGACAGTTTAAATTTGATTAAAACAAAGTCCATCTTATCAGCGTGTCTTGCCAGTGTTAAACTAATCAAGCAAAATATTGGACGGGGCCAATTTTCTCAGTTCCCCAATTTGTCACAGACAAGCTGCCAGGAAGACGACGTTTCAACTTACGTTCAACATTTAAATGCCTTCTATTCAGATTTTGAATCTAGGTTTGATGATATTTTGACTATGGTAATACCACCGTGGATAACTAATCCATATGGTGACATAGAAGAAACGAATGTAATAATACAAGAGGAACTGGCTGAACTAAGTACAAACGAAGAACTTAGGGTTCAGTTTGAAAACGGATATCAGCAATTCTGGCTGCAAAACAACATACCCGTTACTTATCCCGTATTATGGAATATAGCGAGGAAATTTTTAATTTCCTTTCCATCGTCATACCTAGTGGAAAGGGGGTTCAGCGCTGTTACCAATCTCCTAACGAAAAAAAGAAACAGACTGTACATCATTAGCCGAGGAGATTTAAGACTAACCCTTACAAAATTGACGCCAAATGTTGATAATTTATTATTAAAGCATCAGGTTCATCCTTCTCACTAAAAATATTGACTTATGTTATTTTATTTATAGTTTATTTTATGTTTATTGGTGTCTGAGCAATAAATGCTCGCATTGGGATTAAGTGCCCGCATTGATTTTTTAAAGAACCCCCCTTTATAGAAAATATTTTTTTTTAATTATTCTGAAAATTCAAGGATAGGTACACACTAGAATTCGTTAATTTTTTGCCTATTTTTAGATAACTCAAACGTATAAGAAGCGGAATTTAATCAAACTAACAGTGAAATTATTGTAGAACATACGTTTATGTTATAATTAATAAACGAACTCGCTTATTGTACTATTTTAAGTAAAAAACTTTATCATTTTTCACTTTTTTTATTTTATCCCTCTTATTTTTTTCAATGCGAGCACTTATTACCTATGCGGGCACTTATTGGTCAGAGACCTGTTTATTTAATGTTACGTATATTTTACATAACAGATACAAAATTTTATTTTGAGTAGTTTTAATTTAAATTGAATTAATAAATGTATAAATTAACATGCGTTTTTACTTTAAGTTTTTAACACTAGACTTCACTACAGTTAGAAATTTACAGGAAATCAATATCAGGTAAGTAGGAGGTCTACCCAACACGGAAAAACATGGCAAGGGGTCTACGACACAAAAAGTTTGGGGAACTCTGTGTTACAGAATTTGATATTTGTCACACGTGAATCATAATTATGACAAAATAACGTTGAAGGTAACGTTACGTCTGCGATACTTATGATTGTCAAAGGTCTATATTATTATGCTGTTGCACTGTTATCAGTCTGCAGGCAACCTGTCAAAATATCCATTTTGCACAATAAAAATGGCGTCAAGTAGGTTGGCTCCGCACCTCCTATACCACGCTGTCATTAGTTTATAAATGATTATGTTCAGCACGGTTAGCCCTCTTATGCTGCGAACTTGTATAACAAAGAAATTAGGCAGATCAAGCCCCAAACAATTAATCCATTAGAAGTGCAGAAGTGCAGAGGTAACCAGAGACCAGTGACGCGTATTTCTCTTAAAGTTCTAAGTTTTGAAGGCAAAATTATGGAGAAATCTATTAAGTTGTGAAGTTGTCTAATAGATGCGTAAAATTACCGGGGCTGGAAGCGTACATGTATACTAGCGCCAGAATTTTGAGATATGCCCTCTCCCAACCCTTATAACTCCCAACTCCCAATTTTAATACCTACAAAATTTTTTCGAAATAAGATCAGGTCTGAATAATTTTATTTATCCGTTTTTTTTTGTTGTTCAGTTCCGCCGCCACTAGACCGATTCTCAAAACCTACAAAGATTTTTCGTCCTTGGCATAGTATTAACATTTGTGAGAATTTCATCAAAATCTGAGCGGTACTTCTCAAATTACAGATACATTCCAAGGACAGACAGACCGACGGAAATGAGTGACATGGCCCTTCGTGATGTTCATGTCATATCCCATCAAAGAACATATCTCATTTTCGAAATTTTTGCGATTACAATACTTTCTCGCTAGTGGCGTGGAAAGTAAAAATGGATGCTATATTCTTAATCGATATCAACAACTTGATTCGAAGCAGGACTACCTAGATTATCTTGTTAAAGCCCTGTGAAACATTTAAGCAAGGGGAAACCTTAAACAAATTTAAGCTTATTCTCAATACGATGAAAAATGGGTGGTTTCAATTCCAAAAATTTAAATTTGCTTTACATTCTCGTTTTGAACCAGTCTGTGCAATTTCTTATCCAATCTGGGACAAAATCTACCAGAGTAGGTCCCCAGCTATAGAAAACCCATTACAAAGCATATGGCAATGACAAAAATGTGAATAAGTTTGTTATAATTCCTTGGCCTTCATTTGACATTTTCTACGCAAAATTCGAGGTATCTCAAAAAGGTAAGATTAAGATCATATGAATGAATTGTGATAAGGATCTCGCAAATAGTTCAAAAACCGGATAATGTCTCATTTTAATCTCACCACCATTCATGTTTCGAAAACTGCTCATTATAGAAAAAAAGCTTCAGACAAAGGTTGTAGGGTCTCGAGGGAAGAAAATGATGATGACCTTGACAATGTACTAGACTACGACCTTCATGGTCATCCCAAAATCAAGTGAGTATTTTCCCTCTAAGCCCTACAACTTTTCTTTGAAACTGTTTTCTAAAGGGTGGGCCATCCGTTGGTTTCTTTTTTAAATTGATATTAAAATAATACTCTTCAATAATATGTAGCACTCGATACTTTATTCAAAAGAATGCACCTTCCGATTATTTATGAAGAACAATTTCAGTTAAATGGCTGCCGCGGTTGGCCTGACAGTAGGACATCCTCTTATCCCAATTTTGAAGCACATTTTCGATAGTTTGTGGGTCTATTTCATCGATAGCTCGACGGATACTTTCCTTAAGAACATCAATTGTTAGTGTGACAGTACGCCATAGGAAGTAATCCATGGGCTTAAAATCACAGCTGCAGCCCGGCCAATGAACGTCTCCAAAAAAATTGACGTCCGTTTCCAATTGATTTAGAGCCCACAGAGAAACGATATCGAAGCGGATAGTCATTTTGTTTCAATTCTTGCACAAGTTGCACCTTGTAAGGAAATAATCCCAGGTCATTATGCAATATTCTCCGCACAGAAGTGCGACTGATGCTCTGCGACGAGTTGACATACTTGCGTTTTCACGCACACTCTGGGCAACAGCAGCAATGTTTTCGGCTGTACGTACGCGTCGCACACGCTCACACCTTCTGTTATCCATAAGCAGGTCAGTTTCACGAACCTTCTTCACGAATTTTCGTATACCAATCGCGGACGGAGCTTCACTCCGACCAAATCGCATGTAATGATTTTTGGTAACAAATCTAAGACTGAGTTTTTGAAAGCTAATCTCAGTATAATAGCTAATAATTCAAAATTGAATTTTGTTGAAAGTCCAAAAAATCTCGGTATAGTTTTAGATTCTCAGCTTAGATTTAAAGATCACCTAAAAAATCTTTATGCAAAAATCATTTTGTTCTCTAAAATTTTTGTATAATAACAGACACATACTAAACAGATCACTGAAAAAAATTGAGTGAATCCCAAATTCTTTCCAATTTCAATTATTGCTACTTTGTCTATGGGTTTTGCTTAGAACAGGCAAGTAGAGGACGGATTCAGAAGGTGCAAAATGCGTGCCTCAGGTTTATCTATGGTCTGCGTAGGTTTGATCATATATCTCATTTGTATAAAGAAATTAAGTGGCTTAAAATGAATGAGCGTCGCACTCTCCATTTTTCTAGTTTTTTATTAAAAATTATAAACAATCCAGGTTCACCTAATTCTATAAGAGAGCGCTTAATTTTCCGACATTCTGTTCATGATATAAATGTAAGATATTTAAAAAAATTAACTATGCCGCTTCATAGTAGTGCATTGTTTCAACGATCATTCTCACACAATGCTGTTAAACAATTTAATTCAATTCCCAACCAGTTCCTTAATCTTTCTCTTTCAAGTTTCAAAATACAATATAAGAAATATTTGCTAAATACAAGTCTGAAGAAACTTTTTTAGAATAGAGATTGAAGTTTATAATATAGGTATATAAGTAGAACAAATATGTTAAGCAAATTTTATAGTAACCAGTAACCAAATTTTATAGTGACCAGTATTAATTAATATCTTTTTGAATTTTTAATTTACTTTCAGTCTATTTAGTGTTAACACGGGATTATTATTGTGATTATTCTGTATTGTTGTTTGAAGACTTATTACTATTATTATTTTTTTTGTCCTATTTTGGTTCAGTAGAGTAGCTTTAAGCTAGACTTGCGCCAATATTAGGCATTGTATTCTGTATTTTTTTCTAAAGTACCTTTGTAAAAAGATTATTTGTGGTATTCAATAAAGTCACTTATTATTATTATTATTATTCTTATTATTTAATAGTCTTCTCAATTTTCGCAAAGTTCCTGCAACACAGCACTCACTTTGAAAATAGTTTTCCAATATTTCCCACCTTTATTCAAGATTTAGGGCTAATTTCACCAACAACAGTCCGTTATTCTCCACCTATAGGGTAACAGACCGTCAAATTCAACGAATGAGCTTCAGGTTCCAATCAACAAATTTTAGCAACCAATAGCTATGAAATGTTGAAAACAAAATTTGTACTGTCAAAGTATGAGATGACAGCTTGTCATTGAAACATCACCAGCTTATTGAATATTAAGAAATTACATATAATTCAGTCAAAATTTAAAGAAATGTTGGATTTTTGAACAAAATTCATGTTTTAATTACTATTGTTAATTTTTTATTCATATTTATATTATTTTCTTCAATTGATATGCGATGCTGGGTGTTTTCTCCTATAAACCTCTTGCAGATAGCCATTAAGCACTTACTTGATGACAGGCTCTACCAAAAGATATTGCTCGTTTCCAAACATTCATTCATTTACTTGCCGTTCGTCAGAACCATTATGGCACCTTAGATTGATATTCTCACAAAGCCATTCAGGTTTTTTGAGATCCATACATCCATAAAGTTGAATATTTTTCGTTGTTCAGGGACTGAACAAACATCCACACTATATTCACATCGGTTAAGAAATTCCCAAATGTATGCCTTAAAGCTACCAGCAAACCTAAAACCTGCAAAAAAACTGCAAATTTGCCATATACTTCTTTTTTCACGAGTACACATTCAAAGTTATACTTATATTAGACATTATTTGAATACAGCTGATTATTGAATTTCAAGACACATGTGTGGGATGTGTCGACTGTTGGTACCAGTCACAAAACATATACTCTGAAGGTTTAATTCCATGCTATTCAATGACAACACGGTGACTTGTGAGGTTGTCAGCGGCCATTTTGTGAGGGTGCGACAGGGTTGCCAGATTGTGCATTAATATCCCATTTCACCCTCCTGGTTCCAGTGGAGTAAGTTCCGCCAACTGTTGAAATATACTCTACTATGCTTTATAAGACTACTCGTGACATTTTTCCCAAAATCGTTGCACAACATTACCCT